CCCTTAGGAGAGCTTTCAACAAGCCTGGTTAGGTTTAGGACCACAAGGAGCCTCAGTTACCTTTTAAAACAAAACCTGTGCATGGTTCTGAGGCAAACTTTACAGATGTTCATGTGGAGAAGACCTTAGCTCCCCTTGGAAATGAAAGCTGCACTCTGGAGAGAGGTTTCATTCAGTAGCATTTCTCTCAAGGTGACCTCAGCTGTTCAAGGATGAAGGTTGCATTTGATATGTCACTTATTTCCTCAGTCAAATGAGCCAGGCTGTCTTCAGATCATCAGAGATCTGCTCATTACCAAAAGTTGTTTTTAATCCTGATCTGTGATGGGATTTAAAAGAATCCAAGCAGATTTTCGTTTGCCATCCCCAATAAGGGTTTGGGGGGTGACTCGGTGCCCCTGGATGAATTCTCCTTTATTAATTTATAGGCATTCTTCTGAGCACTTGGGATGGCATCATGAAAGTGGCAATGGCTGTTATCTTCAAAGGCCTCTTTTATACTGACAAAACTTCACCTTGCCCACTCGTATTAATAATCTATTGCCATCCTAATTAGTTCACATCAAGGTCAGTGTTTGGTGAGGGATAAAATGACTGTAAGCTCCAGAGAACAAGTTTTTCTTCCACTGCTTTCATGATGGAAAAGAGGAGGGAAGCAGTGAAAGTGGAAAAGGAGAGATTGATGAGGGTTTTTTGTTTATCTTTAGGCTAAAGGACTTGGATATGGAGTAATTAGTTCACACCATCAGGAGCAGCCTGTGAGATACCTGAGGCCACTTTGTGTTCACCCCTTTATCACCCAGTGAACAGCAGAAACTCCTTCATTCAATTCTCCTTTCCTTTGAGGCCGTGATTTTCCAGTGGGAATAACACATCCAAGGGGATTTCAGCCCCGGATTTGTCTTGAAATGTAAACCCAGAGCTGGAAATGTTTTACTGTGACAGGAACTTGGGGCTGGGGCTGCCCCTGGGTCCCTGGCAGTGCCCAAGGCCAGGCTGGACATTGGGAGCTCCTGGGACAGTGGGAGGTGTCCCTGCCATGGCAGGGGTGGAATGGGGTGAGTTTTGAGGGCTCCAGGGGGTCAGAACACCCTCACAGGAGCAGCAGGGTCGGGTCCAGCCCGTGGATGTGGAAACTTTGCCAAAGAGAGGAAGGTGCAGCTTTGGCAATAGAATATAAGAAGGATTTAAAGCTCTTAGAGTGTCCAAAGGAGCAGCATGAGGATGGTGAAGGGCCTGGAGGGGTCACACGAGGAGAGGTTGAGGGAATTTGGATTCTCCAGCTGGAGCAGAGGGGGCTGAGGCCAGATTTCACTGGGATTGCAGCTCATCCCAAGGGACAGCTCCAGGCTCTGCTCCTGCCACAGGGACAGCAGCAGGGAGCGGCTGCAGCTGGCCCAGCAGGGATTTAGGTTGGCTTTTAGGGCAAGGCTCTTCTTTCCCCACAGGCTGCTGGCACTGCCCAGGCTCCCCAGGGAATGGGCACGGCCCCGAGGCTGCCAGAGCTCCAGGAGCATCCAGGGATGCCCAGGCTGGGCTTGTTGGGGGGTCTGGGCAGAGCCAGGGCTTGGATTGATGACCCTGAGGGATTATTCCAGCTCTGGATATTCCATAATTCCATGATTTAATCACATGTCTGCAAACAGTGACTCAGTGTGACTTCCAGGTGCTGGCTCAGGGAATATCTCTCCGTTTCCTTTAGTCTTGCTTCACCCCATGAAAGAGAAACCTCTGAGGTGTATCCAGGCTGGGATTTCACTGAGCTCCAGCCATCTGTACACGGTGTGTCTGTGTCTGACACAGTCATCGGGTATCTCTGCCATCGAGGAGAAAAGCAGCTGGTTCTGGGCTGTGATTCACCCTGCTGGCTCGGCTGGGATGTCTCCCTTAGGGTGAAACAACTCCAACCCCACAAGTGTCTGCTCTGCCCTGCTGGCAGCAAAGTCTGCAGTCTAGACAGGCAGCTCCGAGGTCAGCAGCTCCTGTGAGGAGCTCTCAGGTGGGCTGGACCTGTCCCTGCAGCAGCAGACAGCGTTATTCCACTTCACACCCCAAATCCCAGCCTGGCTGTGTTTGCAGGGCACGAATTCCCTGCCCAGGGCAGGCTGGGCTCCTTTCCCTGCTGAGCTCGGGATGGCAATGAAGCGGCACAAAGCAGATAAATCTCCCCCAGAGCTGCTGTTGTGGGTGAACTTTCCCTGCCGGGGTGACACCGGGTAATTCTGACTCAGCTGAGCCCCAGCCTTGCCCTCCCTGTGCTCCTGCTGAAAGCAGGATTGCGGCAATTCCTCGGGGGGCAGCGGGGATTCATCAGCTGGGAGCCATTCCCGGGGCTGGCCCAGGGGCACAGAGGAGAGCAGAGAGGCTGTGGAGGGCACAGGAGCTGGCCCTGCCGGCTCCCAGGGCTGATCCAGAGGTTGCATTTCTCCCTGCGGATTTCCAAGGCAGCTCCAGGAGGTGCCATCCCCTCACCAGGGACCCCAGCTGGCAGCGAGAGGTGGCAGGACCCAGGAGGGCACAGCGAGGTGACATCGCTGCCCTCCTCCCTCCCCGTGTCCCTGGATCCCTCTGGATCCCTCTGGATCCCCCTGGATTCCCCTGGATCCCTCTTGATCCCCCCTGGATCCCCCTGGATCCCCCTGGATTCCTCTGGATCCCCCCTGGATCCCTCTGGATCCTTTTGGATCCCTCTGGATCCCCCTGGATCCCCTCTGGATCCCCCTGGATCCCCCTGGATCCCCGGACGAGCTCCCCCCCAGGCCAGGACCCGGCTCCTCCCGGGAAGGTCAAGGCTGAATTCCTTTTTCCATTCCTCGCCGCTGCGGGATGGGGGTGGGACGGAATCTCCCTCTTGAGCAAATACCTGCAGCTCTCCGGGCTGACTCACCCCTGGGAGACAAAGAACAATTCATCCTTAATTCGCAAAACTCAGCTTTCCCAGCCGGGCTGGCACTGGCACCTCTGAGATTCGCCTTCTCCCTCCCCGCAGCAGCGAGGCCGGCCCGGCAGCAGGAGAGAGAAGGGTTAAATTTCATTTTCTGCCAGGGCAGCACGCAGCTCTGCCATTGGGAAATCTGATTTTTCACAGCTCGGGGTTGCCTGCATTTCCTGCTCTGGAGCTCCCGGGGGTTTTTAGGGGAGCTAAAAAAGCTAAAAAAAAAAAACTTGAGGGATAAACACTCCCCTCCTTTATCCCTAAAATATCCACACTTGCTTTCTCCTGCTGCCTCCAATGTCCTCTCCAAGTGTCTCGCTGTCGCCGCTTTCCTGACACGGGTGTGAGGACACTGAAGGCAATTCTTTAAAAACCATCCTTTGGTTTTCCTCCTTCCCTGGCAGCTCTTTCTAAAGAAAAGCTGGTGGGAAATCCTCACCCCCACAGCTACAACAGCTTCAGCCGGCTCATTCCAAAGGTTTCTGCTTGAGGCTGATGGTTTTTCCCTGATCTCAGGAGGTGATGCTTTAGCGTGGAGAAACTCCCTCGCTCCCCCATCCCAAAGGGGTTTTTAGAGGCTCCAAAGCTCCTCCAGCCTTCTCAGCACTCCACAGAACCCCAGGGATGGGGAAATCAAACGAAAGCAAACCCTGAGGAGGGAGGTCCCTGCCAAAGATTCACCTCGCAGGGCAGGGCCGGGGGGCTTGGGAGCCTCTGCCAGCCCTGGCAGTGTGTCTGTCCCCTTCATTCTCCGCCAGAACGGCTCCTGTCACCTGTCAGCAGCCCAACACGGGCTTCGGAGAGAGCAGGGCAGGCTCCTCTCCTAGAGAAGGAGAAACATTCGGCAAAGTTCCCCCGAGGGGCTCCAGAGGGCAGCTCGGGGGGACTCGCCCCGCAGAGGGGCAAAAGGAGCCGCCGGTGGAATTTTGCAGCTCTCTCGGTGATTTCCCAGCTCCGACAGGGCTGAGAATGCCAACCTGGAGTGGCCGGGACCTTTGGAAAGTCCCCCTTTATTGATGCTAATGAGTAATTAATCGCTGCAGCAGCCGGGGCTGCCGCACCTTCCCCGCTCGGGCCGGGGTTTGCTGCTCCCGAGAAGAAGAGGAAGAGCCACTGACTCATTTTGGGTGCCTGAATTCCGAGGGAGAGGAGCTCAGAGTCATTCCAGAGCGTTTCCCCATCTTCTGCGAGGCTGCTGGGGCAGGAAAAGGAGTGGGAAGAGAGGCAGAGACGGGCGTGAAGCGATGGCAAAAGCAGGAAAAAGCCAAACCGGAATTTTTTTTTTATTTTTATTTATTTTTTTTTTAAGGGCAGCTTTTGGCATCTTTGCGATGCACAAGAGAACACGGAGTATTTCTGTGCTCACAGGTCATTTCCTCCATTAGGCAAGACACCTCTGTGAATGAACAAGCCCATTCCTGCCTCGAGCTCCCAAGGAAGGCAAAGTGACACCGCAAGAAGTTTCCCTTTGGAAAGATTAGGAAATCACGGCAGGAAAATAGCCGGGAAAAGGGGAGAGGGACAAATTCCGAGAGGTCGGAAAAAGCTTTCAGGGTTATTTAGGAGCCGGCAATCGTGGGTTGTGTCGGCTTTGAGAGCTGATCCCAGCTCTCCCCCAGCCCCTGGGCGCTGCCGGCGCTGCCTCTCCCGATCCACGCTGGAATTGCGGAGCCGCTTTTGGGTTTTCTGGAGTGTTGACAGAAATTGGTGCGATTTTCCGAGTGCTGCGGCCGTGCCAGGGTGGGCCGGGGGGATTTGCGTTAATTTTGAGGTTAATTAAGGGCTCGGAGCTCAGGGCTGCCCGTGAAGCCTTTCCCCGGCCTGGCTGGGCAAGGAAAAAAAATCGCTTTTTATTGTTTTGGGGCAGATAATCGCAGTTTGGAGAGGGGAGGGGTGAAATGGGAACGGCGAGAGAGGAAAGGCAGCCTGCAGGAATGGAGCTGGGAATGAGAGGAGGATGAGGATGGGAGTGAGAGGAGGATGAAGGTGGGGATGAGAGGAGGATGAAGGCAGCAGTGAGGAGGATGAGGGTGGGAATGAGAGGAGGATGAAGACAGTGAGGACAATGAATGAATGTGGGAATGAGGAGGATGAAGGTGGGAATGAGAGGAGGATGATGGCAGCAGTGAGGAGGATGAAGGCAGCAGTAAGAGGAGGATGAAGGCAGCAGTGAGGAGGATGATGGCAGCAGTGAGGAGGATGAAGGCAGCAGTGAGAGGAGGATGAAGGCAGCAGTGAGGAGGATGAAGGCAGCAGTGAGGAGGATGAAGGCAGCAGTGAGAGGAGGATGAAGGCAGCAGAGAGGAGGATGATGGCAGCAGTGAGGAGGATGAAGGCAGCAGTGAGGAGGATGAAGGCAGCAGTGAGGAGGATGAAGGCAGCCTGCAGGAATGGAGCTGGGAGTGAGAGGAGGATGAGGATGGGAGTGAGAGGAGGATGAAGGCAGCAGTGAGGAGGATGAGGGTGGGAATGAAAGGAGGATGAAGGCAGCAGTGAGAGGGGGATGAAGGTGGCCGTGAGGAGGATGAAGGCAGCAGTGAGGAGGATGATGGCAGCAGTGAGGAGGATGAAGGCAGCAGTGAGGAGGATGAAGGCAGCAGTGAGAGGAGGATGATGGCAGCAGTGAGAGGAGGATGAAGGCAGCAGTGAGAGGAGGATGATGGCAGCAGTGAGAGGAGGATGAAGGCAGCAGTGAGAAGGATGAAGGCAGCAGTGAGGAGGATGAAGGCAGCAGTGAGAGGGGGATGAAGGCAGCGGTGAGGAGGAGGAAGGCAGCAGTGAGGAGGATGAAGGCAGCAGTGAGAGGAGGATGAAGGCAGCAGTGAGAGGAGGATGAAGGTGGGAATGAGAGGAGGATGAAGGCAGCAGTGAGAGGAGGATGAAGGCAGCAGTGAGGAGGATGAAGGCAGCAGTGAGAGGAGGATGAAGGCAGCAGTGAGGAGGATGAAGGCAGCAGTGAGGAGGATGAAGGCTCAGCCTGGCCCATGCCGGCTGTACCTGCTCCCTGCCATCCCGCCCCGCTCCCATCCTGACTCACATCCTGCTGCTGCTTCCTGCAGCTTCCAGGAGCGCGGGATCATCCCGGGAGCGGCGCTGGCAGCACCGTGAGCCCTCCTGAGCTCCGGGGCACAGCGAGCCTCAGCCACATCCACCGTGCCCTGGAAGCTCCCGGCATTTGCAAATCCCGGGATTTGGAGCTCTTTTTCTGGTCAGAATATGAAAATCTCCCGAGGGTTTCCTTTGAGGCAGCGTGGTGGGGATGGTTTGTTTGTTACATTGAAATAGGGAGGGGATTTTTGCTGTGATCTCCAGGAAAAATCTGACCTGGGGTTTATGAATCCCCCACTGAAAACTGGTGCTGATTTATGGCTTCCTAGGGCCTGACAGGATGTTGGAGGGATCCTTTCGTTTTTCCAAGAGAAGTTGTGGATTCCCCATCCCTGGAAGTGTCCCAGGCCAGGCTGGATGGGGCTTGGAGCAGCCTGGGACAGTGGGAGGTGTCCCTGCCATGGCAGGGCTGGCACTGGAGGGGCTTTGGGGTCCCTCCCAACCCAAACCACTCTGGGATTTTGGGATTCCATGAGAGGCACAGGTGTGCCTTGCATTGTGAAAAAAAAAAATAATCACATGGAATTATCATCCCAGGACTTTCTGTTTCTATGTCCCAGTGATTTCTAAATCCTCTGGGCTTTTGACAGAGGCCTTGACCCTTCATCTTGTGATGTGTGAAGTTCTTACAATCAGGGAATGGTTTAGAAGGGACCTTAAACCTCATCTCTTCCCACCCCCCTGAGCACCATTCAGAGGATCAGGTTACTCTGCATTTTGTCCTTGGCTCTCAAAAACAACTGGGGAGCCAAACTCTGCTGAGTGGCACAGCGAGCTCGGCTCCTTTGGCTGGCAGGAAAGGTTTGTCCTCCTTCCCTGGCAGCTCCTGCTGGGCACGGATGGAGTCGGGTCTGGGGCGAGGATGGGGAAGGGCCTGAAGGGCCGAGAGGCTGAGGGGGTTTGGATTTGGATTTGGATTTGGATTTGGATTTGGATTTGGATTTGGATTTGGATTTGGATTTGGATTTGGATTTGGATTTGGATTTGGATTTGGATTTGGATTTGGATTGTCCAGCTGGAAATGAGGAGATTGAGGGGAGACTCACTGGGATCGCAGCTCCTCAAAGCTCCCTGAGACAGGGACAGCAGCAGGGAGCGGCTGCAGCTGGCCCAGCAGGGATTTAGGTTGGCTTTTAGGGCAAGGCTCTTCTTTCCCCACAGGCTGCTGGCACTGCCCAGGCTCCCCAGGGAATGGGCACGGCCCCGAGGCTGCCAGAGCTCCAGGAGCATCCAGGGATGCCCAGGCTGGGCTTGTTGGGGGGTCTGGGCAGGAGCAGGAGCTGGATCCATGATCCCTGTGAGTTGTTCCCACTCAGGACATTCCATCATTCCATGCCCTCTCCTGTGCATCCCTCTCTCGGACACCCACAGGGGGCATTTTTAGGCAATCCCAGATTAAGGAAGAAGCAGGAGCCGTTCCCAGAGCGCTCTGGAGGCTCCGGGAAGCCGCAGCTCGGGGTTTGTGGGGGTTCAGGAGGGTTTTTGGAGGATTTGGGGGGCGCGGGGCCGGCGCTGCCCGGAGCAGCAGCACCACCCAGCGGCCACAGCGCGCAACCGCGGGCACAGCTGGAAAAACAGCTGGAAAAGCAAACAGCTGGGAAAACAGCTGGAAAAACAGCTGGAAAAGCAGCCGGGAACGGCCCAAAGCACCTCGAGCACCCCGCGGAAGGGGGAGAGCCGCTCTTGGGAATTTTTTTCACCCCATCCCTCTCCCCTCTCCAGGAGCGCGTTTGGTTAAATCGTTAAAGGTTGCGCAACATCTGCACGGGGTTAATTGCGGCTGTTAATTACAGCTGCCGAGAGCCCGGGGAACGCGGCGATTTCGGGGCAATAAAACAAGACGAGGCACGAAAGGATGGTTCAACAGGCGGCGTTTAATGGGGTGTGAGGAGGGAGGGAAGGGGACGGGAGAGCTGCAGCAGAGGTGTGAATTATTGCACCATAATTCTGGCCCTGCAGGGGTTGGGTGCAATTAGTAACTGTTTTCATGTTTGAAATGCGTTTTCTCACACCATAAAAAGCAGAAATGGAAAGTAATCGCTAGTGGGAGGGAGGGCTGGGCACCGAGTTTTTATTTTGGGCTATTTCGGGGTTGATTTTTAGTGGTTTTGGGGGATCCCGCTCGGCTTGGAAACTGCAGACCCCAAAATTACTGAGGTTATTTCTCTGTGTTGAAGTAGCTCTCCCTTGAAATATTAATATGAATATCACGGATATTCAGGGTAACTCCAGTTTATTTGTACCAGGTTTTCACCAGATTAACTTCAACCACTTCAGTTTCCCGTGCCCAGCTCCTGAGCCCTCTTTATTTGGAAAGCAGGAAAAGATTTTGTTGCTTTTTTTTTTTTTTAATGTGTTCAATTCCAACTCGTTCCAGTTTAATTTTGGGAAAGCTGAAAAGTGAAGGAAAGCAGATATTCCCAAAATAAAAAATATTGTTCGAGACCCTTGATCTGGCAGCTGGAAATGCAAAGTTTGATTTTACTGGGAGCTGGGTACCCAAACTGGGCCATAAAAATGCAATTCCAGGGATGTTTTTCTCCAGTTATTATTAAAAACCTGGGAGGGTGGTGCCTGGGGTTATCAGCACAACCTCCTTTCATGTGTGTACATCTATAATTCACTATATTAACATCCCTCAGCAGCTCCTTAACCAGTCTGATGGCAAAAATGGGAATCTTTAAGAGGGAATTCAGGGGTTGGGAATGCAGGCAGCAAGACAGAAAATTGATTGGTTGTTTGAACTTTCACTTAAGAAAGACTTAATGGGATGAGGATTAATTAATCAAGGGGGTCTCTGGGGCTGCTGGGACCCCAGAGGTGAAGATAACAGGAAATGGATCAGGTGGGTCAGGCACTTCCAGGATTTTTGTGGATGTTCTTACAGAGATTTTGATTTTTAGCTTTGCCCACTGAAGTTTTTCCTTCTGGGGTGCGTTGGGAAGAGCATTCCCAGCAGGTCAGGGCTGATCCTGCCCCTCTGGCCAGCCCTGGAGGCACCTCTGGGGTGCACAGGAGCAGAACAGGCACCAGAGAGGGGCTGGAATCTCCTCTGGGGATATTCCAGAATATCCACAATCCGTGCCCAGAGCTCTGGGGCGAGCCCAGGGCCCCCCGTGGTCCCTCTGAGCTCACCCAAACTGGGGGGCTCCTTTTAGCAGCACTGAAAGAAAGAAAGAAAGAAACCAGGTTTAAATCCACGCTCAGTATTCAGCAAAGCTGTGACCAGATCTCACTTCTTCCATCTTTTCATGCATCTTCTTACTGGGGATTCTGGGATTTGGGATTCAGGGACTCAGGAGTTCAGGGATTTGGGATTCTGGGATTCAGGGATTTGGGATTCTGGGATTCAGGGATTTGGGATTCAGGGATTTGGGATTCAGGGATTTGGGATTCAGGGATTCAGGGATTTGGGATTCAGGGATTCTGTGATTCAGGGATTCTGGCAGTCTGTGAGTCTGGGATTCTGGGATTTTAGGATTCAGGGATTTTAGGATTCAGGGATTCTGGCAGTCTGTGATTCTGGGATTCTGGGATTCAGGGATTTTGGATTCAGGGATTTGGGATTCTGGGAATTGGGATTCAGGGATTCTGGCAGTCTGTGAGTCTGGGATTCAGGGATTTTAGGATTCTGGGATTCAGGGATTCTGGGAGTCTGGGATTTTAGGATTCAGGGATTTTAGGATTCAGGGATTCTGTCAGTCTGGGATTCAGGGATTCTGGGATTCAGGGATTCTAGGATTCAGGGATTCAGGGATGCAGCTGAGCAGAGCCCTCGCAGAGGGAGCCGTGGCAGAGCACAGCCAGGCTCAGACAGAGAAATCCATTTCAAGGAGTGCAGCAATGAAAGAGTGAAGAAAGTCACACCTGGAGGAGGCAGCTTCCATCCCTGGGCTGGGATGCTGTACTGGAATTCCAGTCCTGGGATTCTGAGGTCCTGAAATCCATGGATTGCCTGCTGAAATGAGGGGGTGATGACTGAATCAATCCCATTTCAGAACCTGCAGTGTCACCCCAGCCCAGGGCTCACTCTGGGGAGGATTTGGGGGGTTTATTTTAATCCCTGGAGATTGAATTCCCTCCTGTTCCTCCCTGTGACCTCCCACCAACTCTGATTAACAAGCAGGTGATGCTGCAATTCAGAACTCCACAGGTTTTGTGCTCTTTTTGTTCCTCCTGAAGCCCATTTCATGCAGTTGGATGTTGCTTTTTTACCAACAGGATTTTATCCTGAAGGAAAGCTGCCTGAAAAAAAAAAATAAAATAAATTAGATATTTATAATACCTGAACTTGTTACTCAGCAGAAAAATCTAATTTCAATCTGCATCTTCACCAGTGACTTTTGAAAAGTTTGGGAGTTTTGTATAAATCCTGCCTTGTAAACAGATGGAACAAACAAAATGTAAAACTCATCTCCTTAAATAACAACAAAAGGATATTTTCCAGATGGGTTTTCTGATGGGAGATCAAAGTCCTCGTCTCAGACTTGGGAAATTTCCCTTCCTTCAGTTTTATCTGCATTCAGATCATCCAGCATTTGGGGTTTTTTTTTTCAGCAAAGGCAATCGTCTCAAAGGAGCTGCAGGAGGATGCTCTTAAAGCTGAAGAAAATAGAAAAGATTTTATTAAAAATAGGGAAAAAATAATCCGTGTGGGTAAAGGGGGGAGGAAAGTCTTTGATTCCTTTGGTTTATACAAAAATGAGACATTGCAAAATCCCAACTTCACCTGCAAAATGAAATAGTTGAAAGCAAAATGAAATAGGAAAGAGTTGAGAGAACTAAGTTGGACCAACTCCTTTTTGGGCTTCTCTGATTTCAAACCTCATCCAAACCTGTGGCCAGAAAAGAATCCCTTGGTGGTTTTAGAGGAGTCTGTGTCCCCTGAGGAGCTGCAGTGACAAGGGAGGAACGGTCCCAGGGGCAGAGGGCAGGGCTGGATCTTGGGATCTTGGGCAGGAATTGTTCCCTGGCAGGGTGGGCAGGGGCTGGGATGGAATTGCCAGAGCAGCTGGGGCTGCCCCTGGATCCCTGGCAGTGCCCAAGGCCAGGCTGGACATTGGGAGCACCTGGGACAGTGGGAGGTGTCCCTGCCTTGGCTGGGGGGACACTGGGTGGGATTTGGGGTCCCCTTGATGCCCTGCATGACAATTTTTGGCTAAAAGAGCTGTGAATGCTCAGCCCCAGAGTAAAGGAGGAGTTTTCCCCTTGGAAATTTTAATCTGGATTTCCCTCTCTTCTTCTCTGGTGTTAGGGCATGGGTTGGACTTGATGATCATCAAGGTCTCTTCCAACCTAGAGATCCTGTGTGGAATTCTGTGGGGAATTCGTGGAATTCTGTGGGGAATTTTTCCTGCCTGGTATTAATGGGAAACAGCAGAAGAGCTTCACAAGGATAAAAAACATTAAAATAAATGAAAAAATAAAATAAAATAAAATAAAATAAAATAAAATAAAATAAAATAAAATAAAATAAAATAAAATAAAATAAAATAAAATAAAATAAAATAAAACAAAACAAAATAAAACAACATCAAATAGAATAACATGAAATAAATAAATAACATAAATAAATAAATAACAACATAAAATAAATAATAGCATAAAATAAATAACATAAAATAAATAACATAAAATAAAAAATCAAATATAAAAAATTATAAAATAAAAATAAAATAAAATAAAATAAAAAATAAAAATAAAATAATAATAAAATAATAATAAAATATAAAATAAATTATAAAATAAAATAAAAATAAAATAAAAATAAAATATAATAGAATATAAAATAAAATAAATAAAATATAAAATATAAAATAAAATAAAAAATAAAATAAATAAAATATAAAATAAAATAAAAAATAAAATAAATAAAATATAAAATATAAAATAAAATAAAATAGAAAATAGAAAATAGAAAATAGAAAATAGAAAATAGAATAAAGTAAAATAATGTTACAGAAAGCTCACTTGAAGCTCTCCCAACAAGGGGCATTTACAGAGCTGGAATTTCATTACCAGGGCACTTCCAGCCTCTGTTCCAGGCTGGCTTGCTGAATTTCTCCCTGCAGAGCAGCCCACATTGATTGTGTTTGTGTGTGTTTGTGACTGTGTTTGTGTTTGTTTTCATGTTTGTGTCTGCAGACACCCGGCAGGTGCAGCCCTCCCCACCCTGGTCCTACGACCAGTCCTACCAGTACCTGGGCTCCATCGCCGCGCCCGCCGTGCACCCCGCTACGCCCATCTCACCTGGCCGTGCCGGCGGCATGAGCTCGCTCACAGCCGAGCTCTCCAGCCGCCTCTCGGGTAAGGACAGCGCCCCTGGGCCCTCCATGGCACAGGGACACCACACTGCTGGCCCTGTCCCACCCCTGAGTCCTCCATGGCACAGGGACACCACACTGCTGGCCCTGTCCCACCCCTGGGCCCTCCATGGCACAGGGACACCACACTGCTAGCCCTGCTGGCCCTGTCCCACCCCTGAGTCCTCCATGGCACAGGGACACCACACTGCTGGCCCTGTCCCCAACCCTGGGCCCTCCATGACAAGGGGATGCTTCCTTGGTGACAAACTGGTGCTCCTGTCCCCACTCTTGCTGCCCCCACGCCAAGGGACCCTTCCTTGGTGACAAACTGGTGGCCCTGTCCCCACCCCAGCTACCCTCACACCAAAGGGACACTTTCCCAGTGACAAACTGGTGGCCCTGTCCCCACCCCTGGGCCCTCCATGACAAAGGGACACTGCCTTGGTGACAAACTGCTGGCCCAGGTGCTGCCCCAGCCCTTCAGGGGCTCTCTGGGCAAAGCTGGTTCCGAGGTTTTGGGGGATTTGTGGGAAGAGTAGAGAAACAGAGAATTTTAGGAAATGAGCTGAGTTTTGATAAACGAATCACAGAGTTAATGAGGTTGGGAAAGATCCCAAAGGTCATCGATTCCCAGCTGTGCCCGATGCCCACCCTGTCCCCAGCCCAGAGCCCTGAGTGCCACGTCCAGGTGACACCTGCAGGGATGGGCACTGCAAAGCTCCCTGGGCAGTTCTTTCCAAGGCCTGAGCTCCCTTTCCATGGGCAAATTCCTGCTGCTGTCCACCCAGAATCCCAAACTGGTTTGGAGGGGAACCTTAAAGCTCATCTCATTCCCACCCCCTGCCAGGGGCAGGGACACTTCCCAGGTTGCTCCTGGGGTTGGGAGCCCAGCATTGCCAAAAAGGAAGAAAAACGAGGAAAAGCAGCACTTGGAAGCTGTGAGAATGATTTAGATTACTGAGGAATTCTCAATTAGCAATTATCAGATTGCCAAGAAATGGATGGCACAGATATTCCAGCTCTGTTTCCTTCCCTCCCTCTAAATCCAGAGCACAGCAGCTTTTGGGTGGACCATTGGCTGCAGGATGGTGGGGTTGGACATTTTAAATGCTGCACTGGATTTTCTCATTTTCCACGTCCATCAAATCGTCCTGCAGAGCTTTAGAAGCCACAAGAAAAAAGGAAGTGAAAACCACCCCGATTCCACCACGTTTAACTGTCCCTGACCTGCACATCTTGAACCAATCTGGGTGTGCAGCAGCAGGAATTTTCTATAAATGAGTGAGAGCCATATCATTCTAATTTGCATACAGCCTTTGCAAAAAATCCCTCCTTTAACTCCACATCTTGCTCTCATTTGAAGGCTCAGGGTTTCTTCTAAGATCAGAGGGAACCACTTGAACATGCTCCAGCCTGTTTTGTTGTTGTCTTGTAGAGCTTGCTTTGAAAGCCTCGCACCAAATCTGAATTATTTGTTAGGTCTGGGTGATAATTGCGTTGTAGAGAGGGCTGAAAACACAGGGGGCTTTTCAGAAAACGGCATTTCTTCTTTTTTAAAGAAGTCTTGTAAAAATTCTCATTCTTTATTTACACAGAATTAGAAATTAATTTTTTTTTAAAGAAATTAGAATGCCCCTTTGTTTTCCACCAGGACCCCCAGGTCCTTCTCCTTCTTTTCCCACCCATGGCCACAGGGATTTTCCTTGGAGCTGGCAGAGTTTCTCCATGCCTTGTGAAGGAACCTAGAAAGGTTTTATTCACGTCAGCATCCTTCTTTTCCCTGTTCCAATTCCTTACATTAAATGTCAGTCAGCATTCCTGGGAAAACGTGTCCCAACCTTTGCTGTCACCCACAGCTGGTGTCTCTAAAAATTCACTCTTTGGCAGAACAAAGAGCAAATTTCAGGAGGATTTTAGGCCCTGCCAACTAAAGACCCAGGGGAAAAACAACAACACGGGATATGTTTGAGCCATCTTGACGTTAAATATCATTACTATGCTTTTTGCCAGGGCTGGATGAACTCTCCTCTGATTAACGAGGTATCCAGGCAGTTTTAGGAACTTCCTCAGGAATGAGGTGTGGAAGTAACATTTAAAATCTGTCACCTCAACCATGGCTCCTCCAAAGCTCCTGCTGCTCCACTCCACCGTGTGTTTCCCCATGTCAAACCTAAAGGTGACGGGGTTCAGGGGAATGAAATGTGTTCCCATTAGTTTTCCAGAAAAAAACTGGATGGCAAATCCTAAAGGAAGCAAACAGCGAGTTCAGAGCTCTTCTAAGAAACTGAGCTCGTCAAGGTGGGCTGGTGGGTCCTGATGAGCTTTCAGAGCTTGGCTCTGGAGTGAGTCTGCTCCAAGAATCCCAGACTGGGTCTGCTCCAGCTGGAATCTGGGGAGAGCCAAGAGCTTTGTTTTCCCTCTGCTCCTCCTCAGGAGTATTTCCTTCAGCACACGGCTCCTCTGCTGCAGACTCCACGCCTTGGCTGCCAGGAGAAGTTGTCTTTCTTCTGGAAAGATTTTTATTTTCCGTAATTATTATTGTTATCTTAAGCAGGCAGAGCTGCCAGCTCTGGGGATGAGACCTTCCATTAACCTGAGTCACGATGAGGATCCTTCCTAAAGTCGATCTGCTCCGCTTGTTTAATCCGGGCAGGGAAAGAGAGGATGGGACCAAATGTAATTCCATGGATAAAGCAGAGCAGGGTTTGATTCTCCTGTGGAACATTTCAGAGCGAGAGGTCATGGGCTGGGCCAGGGGAGGCTCAGGGTGGGCAGCAGCAGGAATTTGCCCATGGAAAGGGAGCTCAGGCCTTGGCAGGGGCTGCCGAGGGAGCTTTGGAGGTGCCCAAGGAAGGGCTGGACGTGGCACTCCAGGTGACAAGGTGGGCATGGGGCACAGCTTGGCCTCAATGATCCCAGCTGTTCTTCCTGACCCAATCAATTCCGGGATCCCCTAACATTCCTCTGCCTCCCTTCCCTTCCCCACCTCCCAGGAGCGTCCGACCTGACGGCGTTCAGCGACCCCCGTGTGGGAATCGACCGCTCCTTCCCGGCGCTGCCGTCCATCTCCGACCCTCGCATGCACTACCCGGGAGCCTTCACCTACACACCCACGCCCGTCAGCTCCGGCATCGGCATCGGCATGTCGGCCATGTCCACGGCCAGCAGATACCACACGTACCTCCCGCCGCCCTACCCCGGCTCCTCCCAGGCTCAGGGCAGCCCCTTCCAGACCAGCTCCCCTTCCTACCACCTGTACTACGGCACCTCGGCCGGCTCCTACCAGTTCTCCATGATCTCCGGCGGGGATCGCTCTCCGCCGCGCATCCACCCGCCCTGCACCAACGCCTCCACGGGCTCCACGCTGCTCAACCCCAACCTGCCCAACCAGAGCGACGTGGTGGAGGCCGAAGGGAGCCACAGCAACTCGCCCACCAACATGGCCAGCACGGCCAGGCTGGAGGAGGCCGTGTGGAGGCCGTACTGAGGAGATCAGAAGGAGCTCAAGGGGTCAGGACTAAAGGACTTCCCATTTCCCAGCGGGATCCCAGAAACTTCCTTGTGGGCCCTGCCGCGTTCATCCACGAGTTTCAGGAGCAAACCCTTCCGAAGTCAGCGCTCCCAGGAGCGGAGGCTCTCGTCGCCAGGCCCTGGTGGAGCCGAGTCGCTCCGGCAAAGTGTTCCCGGCAGGAGAATGAGCTTCTGGAAAGGAGGATGCTCCAGTTGGTGGTGCAGAGGTAGCGAGGGTGGGTAGAAGGGTATCCAACCTGATTCCAGGCCTGTGGCTTCCCAACGTGCCTGGGCTTGAAGGTCTCCACAGCCCTAAAAGAGAGTTTCGGTTCACTTCTATTTTTAAGACTTAAAACCTTAAAAAAAAAAAAAACCAAAAAAACCCCAAAAAAGAAAAATAAATCTTAGCGAGTTTACTGCATCTTATGGACGTTTTAAGTGTAAGGAAGTATAGGAAGATTCCCAGAGGGAAACTGTGAACGCTTCTGTTTTAGCAATGCTGTGAATGAGAGGTTTTATATGTTGGACTTCGTTCTTTCTTTTCTTTGTTTTGTTTGTATATTCCAAAGAATATGGAAATTTTTATTACTGGGGGTTTTTTTTTTGTTTGTTTTGTTTTGGGCTTAGATTTTTTTGGTGGTTTTTTATTTTGTTTTTTTTTTTAGGATGCAGCTCATCCTGCTTTGCATCTAATTTGTTTTATTTCTCTTGGCACCTTATAAATTGCAAAAAAAAAAAAAAATTTTCTTTTTTTTGGTTTTAATCATGCTTGCTTCTTTCTTGCTTTGTCAACTGAAAGAATCAGCCCCTTTTACAATGAGTTAATTTAACTTTTTATCTCTTGGACTTCTTTTTTTTTTTAACACAACGGCTACAGCCTTGGGTCATTTTCAACTACTGTATTTCTTTGATGAGTTCATTGATATTTATGCTTGATATTTAGACTTTTCTTATTTGTTGATACTATTATTATTTAAATATGCCTATATTAAAAAAAAAAAAATATCAGCAATTGCCTTTTTTTGGTAGCAGCCAAAGTCAAATTTCTCACATTGAAAAAGGCTGGAATAACGATGGGCAAAAGTGACCTCCTAATTCCCTAAAAATATTGTTTACAATTATCTCACTCTCATTTTGCTCAGTTTAGATCCTCAAAGGCATTGAGGTGGCCAATTCCTGCTGGAAGGCACCAAAATCCCTGGGGATTTCTGTACCTTTCCAAGTGGTGGAGTCATCTCTGCCTCCTCCTATTTTGTCACCAGTGGTGACTCTCAGGATCAGGAATCAGGATGTAGATACTTCCTAAGGCTAATTCAATGTTCCCTAACGAAATACCTGCCCACTGGAGTGTCAGGACACAGGGAATGGCTTCCCACTGCCAGAGGGCAGGGATAGATGGGAACTGAGAAGGAATTGTTCCCTGGGAGGGTGAGGAAACCCTGGAATAAAATTCCCAGAGCAGCTGTGGTTACCCCTGGATCCCTGGAAGTGTCCAAGGCCAGGCTGGAGCAGCCTGGGATAGTGGAAGGTGTCCCTGCCCACGGCAATTTTGGTGGATGAGCTTTAAGATCCCTTCCAACCCAAACCATTCCCTGGTCCTGCGATTCCCACGGTGAAGGGGAAGTCCTGGCTCTGACGGAATCTGGGTGAGATTTTCCCCCAGGATTTCTGTGCAGCACTAAAGCCACGTTCCATCCTGCTGGCAAACACATCCGCTCCTGGACGGGGCTGGAGAGCTCACCTGGAAACCTCCAGAAAATCCAGGGTCTGGACAATCCTTCCGTTTCCATCCTCTGGGAGAAGAGGAGGGATTATTTGAAGTTGGTGTAGCCAATGTTGTGCCCTGTAGTAAATCTACAAGGCTTTTACTAGGAGCAGGTTTGGCAGGGAGCCGTCACCGCCGCCCGTCGTCCCAGCACAAAAATATCAGATGTCACTGTAACGTTTTTGGCACTATTTTATTGAGGGTTTGCTCTTGTACTACTCCTTAACTCCAAACTGCTGATGTTGACACGTGTCAGTCCCAAATGAGCTGATTATTATTTAATGTACCTCTCAAACCAGAGGAAAAAAAATTGCAGGTCAACTCAGAGAGTATTTGAAAGCAGGACTTCAGATCAGTGTTTGATGTTTTAAGAAAAAAAAAAGAAAAAAAAAAGTTAAAAGGATTCAAATTAAAAAGATCCTTGGCTGCAGGCAGCAAAACAGCTGGATTTATTTAAAACCATTTGTTTTTCAAGTTTTCTCTTTTTTTTTTATAGATATATATATATGATTTTGCTTCTTTGTTCGAGTTGGATGCAGTAGCACTTTGGTATTGAAAAGAATCGAAGAATTTCCATTGTCAATAAGGTCGTTTTTGTGCAGAAAATAGGGAGTGTTTCAAGAGATCTCAGCAAAAGCCCAAAATGCTTCTGTTAAAACACGTGGCCTTGTGCTTTTCATTTAATGGAATATCCTTTATAATTTTCCAGAGTTTGCTCTGTAAGAAAAGACAGAAAACATCCAGATTCTATCAGAAATATATTTGGAAAGTCTGGAGACCCTGCTGAATACAGAAATACAGAGACCCCCCCTGGTTGTAGCATTTCCTCAGCTGGACTCTCACCTCTTCAGTACCCTAAAATAAAAGTCCCACATCTCTGAGCAGTAGCTCTGCTGTAGAATCCTTTCAGCACATTCTGTGCAATTCAAACCCTAATTTATTCCAGCTCTCAATTAAAATCCTAATTGATTACAGCTCCCACATCTGCCTTGTGACTGGACCACCAAAGTGCACAGAGCTGGGAGTGGGAACACAGCAGGGAGAGGAGCTTGGAGGAGCCAGGAGGGGCCAGGTGACCTGGAGAGGGAATTTTAATGAAAGCATGGAGTGATAGGACAAAGGGGACGGTATCAAGATGAAGGAAGCAGGCTTAGATGGGATATTTGGAATTAATTAATCCCTGTAAAATTTGTGAGGCCTCAGCACAGGGTGCCCAGAGAGGCTGTGGATTCCACAAGCCTGGAAGTGTCCAGGGCCAGGTTGGACAGGGTTTGGAGCACCCTGGGACAGTGGGAGGTGTCCCTGCCCATGGCTGGGGTGGCTCTGGGTGAGTTTAAGATCCCTTCCAACCCAAACCATTCCATGATTTGATGATTCCATGAGTTCAGCCCGGTGGCAGAAGTGAGGTTGGTGTGGTCACCAAGGTGAGCTCAGTGTGGTCACCAAGGTCAGGTTGGTGTGGTCACCAGGGTGAGCTCAGTGTGGTCACCAAGGTGAGCTCAGTGTGGTCACCAAGGTCAGGTTGGTGTGGTCACCAGGGTCAGCTCGGTGTGGTCACCAAGGTGAGCTCAGTGTGGCCACCAGGGTGAGCTCAACACGGTCACCACATTGCCAGGCCCATGGGACACCACAATCTCCTTTCTGCTACAGCCCTTTTAGCCCCCAAAATTGAAACTCACCAACCCTGGAAGTTAAAAAATTGGGGATTCACAGGAAGAGGGAGCTGGCAACTCTCAGACCCTAAATCAAACATTTCTTCTGTCTCCACTCATCCTAAAGGTGAGGTTTGATTTGGCTCTCCCTGATGTGAACGGGATGAGGAAATACAGAACTGGTCACCACCACATTTCCCTGTGAATGACAATTTCCTGGGATTTCCCAGTGTTTCCCATGTTTTTATTGCCAGCAACCAAATTTTGGAGCTCAGCCTCTCTGGGTATGTCCAGCACTGCAAAGGAAAGGAAAAGCCAAGTTCATTATCCCTGGCAATTCATCTGTTTAATCACTGTGGGTTTCAGTGTATTCACTCATCAGAAACCACAGTTTCTGTAAATATTTGGGGTTTTAGCCATCGCTAAGGATGGCAGAGTTTTTCAAGGCTGTGAAAATGCTCTCACTGTCTTTCCTCTTGTATTTTAAGAGCACTTAACAGGCAGGAAAAAAAGACACTTGGATAAAACATTTCCCCCATCCCCATCTCCAAATCAGAGTGTATGAGCATCTATTTTTATATGGATATAATAGATAAATATTTATATCATTTTATCATCCCAGGATGCTGGATGGAATCAGAAAAATGGAATTCTTGTGCTTCTGCTCTGGAGCTGCAGTCAGCAGAGTGCTTTAGGTACCTCACCCTCCCAAAATTCAGCTCCTCTCTGTTCTCACTCTCAGCTTGGGTGCTCCTTTCACAAGACACAGCTCCTTGTGCATGTCAAACGTCTTCAATGTAAATTTTGCTGGATCTGAGGACAAATATTTCCCTCTCCAACATTTAAACTCATTTAAAAGCTCCTGCTGGCTCTCAGAGCATTGGAGAGGAGCTTTAATGCAGGGAGAAGAGGATGCAGGAGGGTTTGATTTATAGAATGATGCCAAATTCTCCGCTGGGAAGGAGAGAAATCCTCTCCTCCAAAAAATATCCCAAATTTCCTGCGCTCTTGAAACATTCACTGCTGCTTCCTGGGTGACCTTTTCCATGGGTGTGTTTGAAATTCAGGGAGGAGTGGATCTGTTTTCTGTCCTCGGAGCAAAACTCTGCCTTGTTTTTCTGCCTTGTACCATTTTCCCGTTGGATTTTCGTTCACCTCGCTGGGTCAGTCCCAACCACTCGGTGTTTTTCTCCTCGTCCTTCAAGGGTTGCATCCCCAGAGTTGTATTTATGTCTGTAAATAGATTTCCAAAGCTTCCTAGGCAAAATATTTAGTGCTTGTAATTACTCTGCATTTTTCTCTTTTTTTTTTTTTTCTGTTTTTAATGAACTTACCTTTGTGTTTGCTGAAATACTGTAGTGAGACTTATTTCTTTTCCCAATTAGTTATTTTTAGGCTTCAAGAGGAACTACATTTTATTCACTTTTGTAAACAGTTATAGCATGGTCTCTATCCAACATCATCCTTCACTTTTTTTGTGGTAGGGGATAAACAAACATAAAAAAGAAAAAAAAAATTAAAAAAAAATCTGTGGGTTATTTGTGGTATTTTGGGTTGGACAACTCCAGCTCTTTTTAAAACCAAAATTTCAGTGAGAGGTGGTGAGGCTGAGGGGGGACACAGCCCCATCAGAGTGGCACCAGAGGGAATTTGTTCAGCATTTTCTGGCTACGTTTACAAAACATTTCCCCTTTCAACGCTGAACTTTTCCTGAAGGGGAACCCATCAGGTTGGGGATTTTATTTTTGTGGGGGTTGATTACCAGGGAATTATTTTTTTTCCTGGGGAGGGCAGGGGTTGGCTGCTGATTTTTGGAAGCAGATAGGAAAAGAGAATCGAGCAGATTATTTTCCCCCCACTCCAGGAATCTCTAGATATCACCCCAGGGTAAATTCTTGCTGTCCACAGGGATGGCTGTGTCCAGCACCACAGGAGAATTCATTACAACTACCCAGAGCAGCTGGACTGCTGCAGTAGTTCTAATGAACACTTTTCTTCCTTTTTTTTTTCCTTTTCTTTTCTTTCTTTCTTTGTACCACAGTTTCCTCTGTAAATTCAATATCATAATTAGTGTGAATGACAAATAAAATGTTTGACAAGTATGCACGTGGGCCTGCTGCATTCTTTTATCTGGGAGAAGAAAACCCTGTCAGGGAAAAAGGAGCCATCAGGAAGAGGGTGCTGACCTCACATCAATCACAACATCAAAAATAGGTTTCCATCATTGATTTTTTTGCAGTTATTTCTTTCTTTTTTGTTGAAATGGTATTTTTCTGCTGTGGAGTAAGCTGGTGGAAGGCCTGGAATCCAACAGGACACCAAAGCAGGAGGGAAATTTTACAGTGAGGTTGCCCAGGGAGGTTGTGGATTCCCCTGGATCCCTGGCAGTGCCCAAGGCCAGGCTGGACATTGGGAGCAGCTGGGACAGTGGGAGATGTCCCTGCCATAGCAGGGCTGGGAATGAAATGATCCCTAAAATCCCTTCCAATGCAAACCATGCATAATTCCATTAAAGGAGAGTTTGCACCTCCAGCAGCCCAATAATTGCATTTTATCCTTGGCTCCTTAATTAATTTCAGTATTTCAGTTCTATCTCCAGCTCTTATTTTTCTTCATCTTTTCCTTCTTGGATTGGATCCTTTTTGCTACTGATGGTTTGAACCTTCCTTGAGGAGCATTAAAACAGATTTTAAGGCCACGATATTTAAAAGATTTGGGGTCTTTTCACTTTAAATAAATAAAGAAACAGAAGTGTTAATGAAACATTACTATGGGTGTACCAAGCTTTCAAAATGAGCAAAATATATTGAAAGTTCATTTTTAAAGCCTCTGGATCCAGGCAGATATAGATAAAATACCTTCTAAAATTTGCCCTGCACAACATATTGCATGATTTTAAAGAAGTTTTCAGTAATATCCTTCTCCACAATAATCAGGGAATCACAGAATGGCTGGGGTTGGAAGGGACCTTAAAAATCACCCAGATCCAGCCAGGGGCA